TGGTCAATTGATGGAGAGGACATGAATAGGAGAGGTGGTGCACTAATTAGTCAGTTGTTCCGTGCAAATTATTGTAGCCTTGCCCTTTACACCAGAAACTCTGGCGCTAAGGTCTACGCACATGTACTTAAAATCACTGGGATGTGGTAGGAGTGGTTACGTACTTCTTGTGAAAGAGGCAGCGGAAACACTTTTGGTGGGACATATCATTTTGGGAGAATTGCAATCATGCTTTTGTCCCACACAGGAGACGATGACATTTGTTCCAAATTGAAATGCCCCACGAAAAATCATTGAAAATGAAAAATAATGGACTATGTTGTAAAATCTAATAAATGAGAATTAGTGAGGGGTCGAAAGCAAAGAGATAGCTCAGCTTCCGTTTCGAAGAACCCATTTTATGTCATGTTCAAACAAATAAAGAACGCAGCCGCACTCTCCGCGTCTCAGGGATGTGAAACGTACCTATCCTAGAGAGGGTGTTCTACGGTGATTACAAAAATTGTTATTCTCTGCCCCTTTTCCTCCTCTGTGATTAGAACGTGAATCCATGTTGAATCCCTTCGTCGTTGCTTTCTCATCTACGTCGTGTCATGAACTTCGTTGTAGTACCGCAGAGGTGCTGGCCATTGGCAGCAACGGAAGAGGCTAATGAGGCCCTTGCTTTGTTGTCCGCTGCGTTTTCGTGTATCATGGGGTCTTAGAAGGGGGGGGGGCGGTGCCTAGGATGTTCAATGCACGTGTATGCGCGAACACCAGTGAGCGACAAGTGAACAAACTAAAAAAAATTATGACCGTATCCGCACGTGACATTTTCGTGGCGAAACAGTAGGTTAACCTTCACGATAAATCATCTTTCAGTGTGACCATGAAAGTCAAATGTTGGTCGTCTCCTTGTACATCAAGTACACTAAGAAAACCTTGACAATAACGACATGGATTTTTCTATGCCATGCCCACCCCACGTCGATTATGGCGCTGCCTAAAGGCGCATGACACGATAATTTGGTACTCGGTAGTAAAATGCTAGCAGGGTGCTCTAGAGTAGGAACATGGCGAAAAAACGAGGTGAAACGGTCCGAAATCTGCGAAGAAAAGCCTTCGTTCTTACTGACTCAAAAAGCAATTTTGGACGAGTTTTCCGTATTCATCTTAACAATAACCGCTACGGTAGATACGACGGCAATATACTCATATATTCATGCAGCACCGCGGCCGCTTCACATCAATCCCTTCGCCTCATATATTCGCAAATGAAGCAATACGAGCATCAGGTACGGTCGTCCATTTGTGGGCGGGCGGGCGCAGGTGGGCGTTCGGGTCGGTATGTTGCAGCTTGTAGGGCCTTATAAGGGCACCTTCCTTGGAAAAGGCGCTACGCAGCGCCTGCTCCGGCGCGCGGAAATCTGTCCTGTCAGACGTATCAGTCCTACTCTTGTTTAGGATTTATCGTGCCAACTGCCTTCAAGTGCATAAAGGTCCTCCATTCAAAGAGCGACAGTGAAAATCTTTCAACTTTTGCGTCAAAATTTCAATTTTTTTTGTCTTGCACAGAAGAGTTTCTTACGAACATTGAGCAACAACGTGGAACGGGGTCTGCAACGACTGGACTAATCTTTCTCACGTGCACTATTGAATGACAGGCCCCCTGTTCCTTTCACAACCTCTTTGTTGTGTAACCAGAGATGGCGTGGCGTATCCCCTCCCAAACTACTTAACCCCCTTACTCCTATCATATTTACCTTCTAAGCACGTCATGTCATGAGCCTCTATATAGCATCGCGGCAGAGCTGGTCATTCGACTGTATATAAACTGTTCGGCAAGGGGGGGGGGTGATCGGTGTTTTTCTAGTTCTCTAGCTTCGTTTCCTAGTTGTTGTTGTTACGGACGGAACTTGGTGAAACCTATAGGGTCTCGTCAAGTGTAAGCCTATTGCATAGTTCTATAAGAGTCTGCAGGCTTCCACAGAATGTGTCGGCAGAAAGCAATGGGAACCAGTGACTTGCCCCTACGAAGCCGAACTGCGCCTTCTGTAGGTCACTGCCCCAGGAATCGATCCGCGGGCTTGGAGACATCGCATTTCACGCTCTCCTGGCTAGCTGACCTGATGACACAGACATAGAGGGAGAGTCGACGCGCCGCAGCGTTACCACATTGAGTTGAATGGGTCCTAGTGCGAATGCTACGCTCATTACCCCGCTTGCTGTGTCTCTGTGGTGGTGCTCGCCGCTACTCGGAAGTAACGCTGTACACCCGATATACGGCCTGTTGGGAGGGGTTTGTTCTTTTTATATTGTGAGAGATCAAGCAACCTTAGCTTATAATAGAGATTTTTTTGTTGTTTCCGGTGTTTCCACATAGATCCCCTCCCCCCGCTCGGTCCACGACCTCTTTTTTTTTCGATAGGCTGAAATATAAGAAGGTAAAGTTAAAGAAAACAAACCTATACGGAGTTGGGGATTTGTACCGCTGGCTTTGAGGTCGTACTTCATGACCTTCACTTCATACAGCAGTGGAGGGAAGGGGGGGGGTCTGTCTGGTTTTCAGCCACAACTGTACTAGGTGCCCGGATCACTATAGATTGCTGTAGACATGTATGCACTCGTATACGTCTAACTTTTCCAGGAGGGATGCCCCGGATTTCATATTACGTAGGGCTTGAGCATGCCTTCTACTTTACTCCAAACTTATTTTACGTTTTATGCAGGTCTTGGTGAATCATGGATCGACTCTACCCGAAGAGGCTCTTTACGCCATTCGCTTTCACTCCTTCTATCCGTACCACTCCCACAATGCATATCGGCAGTTCATGAACGACAAGGATCGCGAGCTTGAAAGTGCGGTGCTGGAACTCAAGTGAGTGATTTCTTGCTCTTAAAGACAAAATCCGCGCAAATCGGATGCGAGGAAATGTGGGCAGGGACTACTGACTGACCATTGGGCCTCTCTACATGACGCTCCCCTCCTTTTCGCAGTAGTAAAAGGAGGGACACAGCAGTGGTTATGAGTCTGCGCCCATTCGAGCTTCGCGGAATGTATTATTAACTACCAATAGCTCATACATCACCTACTTAATACTCCATTCCAGTAGCTGTGATCTGTACTCGAAGGGTGATGAAAAGCCAGACATCACCAAATTGAAGCCCTATTATCAATCGCTGATCGACAAATACATACCTGGAGAAGTGAAGTGGTAGATGGAAATTCTCCGGTTACGACTACTCTAATGCTAATGCCTGTGTTCAATAAAAATCTTTAACTATCGTGGAGCAAGGATTT